TGATAATATTTAAAGATTAACAGGACTGTGTGTTGAAGAATAATAATAAGATATTTTACAGGACTTTTTGTTTTAGATATGATTGGTTGTTAAGGGATTATTATACATAAGCAGGGATGTTTGTTAAAGGATTAAGTTAATGTATTACCAAGCCTGTTTGTAAAAGGATTATGATAAGATAATAACATGATTGTCTGTTAAAGTAAAACAATTAGAAATTAACGGGATTGTCTTTTTAAAGGATGATAATAAGAGATTAGCAGGACCGTAGGGTAAAGGATAATCATTAGAGATTAACAGGATTATCTGTTAAAGGATAATATTTAGAGATTAACAGGGCTGTCTATTAAGGGATAATAATAAGAGATTAACAAGATTGTCTGTTAAAGGATAATATTTAGAGATTAACAGGACTGTCCTTTAAAGGATAATGTTTAGAGATTAACTTGACTGTCTGTTTAAAGAAAATAATTAGAGATTAACAGGACTGTCTGTTGATGGATGATAATAAGAGATTAGCAGGACTGTCTGTTAAAGGATAATCATTAGAGATTAACAGGATTGTCCGTTAAAGGGTAATATTTAGAGATTAACAGGATTGTCTGTTAAAAGATGATATTTAGATATTAAGAGGACTGTCCTTTAAAGGATACTGATTAGAGATTACCAGGACTGTCTGTTATAGGAAGATAATTAGATATTTATAGGACTGATATGGTTGGTTGTGAAGGGATTATGGTAAGTGATTAACAGGACTGTTTTTTTTTTAAATATTAAGATAATATACTAGCAAGCCTGTTTGTAAAAGGATAAAGGATTATGATAAGATGATAACAGGACTGTCTGTTAAAGGATAATCATTCGAGATTTACAGGACTGTTTGATAATGTAATAAAGGGATTAACATGGCCGTTAGGAATAATGATAAGATATTATTTATCAAATTCAACACACCATGACAAATATGCGCATTAGAGTCAGTGATTCGTAGTGTTGTTTGTAAACATTAATTGACAATATGACTTCAAAAGACACAGAAACAAAAAAAAACATGACTTAGGAAGGTAACAAAACCATAGACAACCTGACATGCCTGAAGTAGTCCGATGTGTTACACCTTTGTAAAGGTACTGAATATTCTCTTTTCATGATAAATTTTGAAATATTTAAGATCAACTTAAGATTTGTTTATCTTAATGATTACAATCAATCTACACATAGGGAGTAGCATGGATGAATATATTATGGAAACATTTTATGTGTAGATGTATTTCGCACTAAGTTTCAGTAAGTTTACGTAATTATTCGCTTGTGCGGTTAATGATAATTTTTAATTAATGACATGAAACGTATTTCCTGGTCCCTAGAGATATGACATTAAAATATGGATATGTCAGTGGATGTATGGAACGACCCAGATACAAGCATAGTGAGTACATATCAGTCGACGACCTTAGATATGATGAATCAATATTTCTATTCAGGTATGTACCTCAGAAAAACCTGCAAGCCAAATTTCAGAGCCAATTAATTCCACATATCACGTGTAAGGTGAGTAACGCTATAGAATGACACTCCTGTAAATACATGATGTTTATATTATACGGCAATTATGTATGATAGATGTTTAAAGCAACATTTTGTAGTTCTTTGTGTCGTAAATCAATAATGTAAACTCTGACCTGTCACCAAAAGCTATAATCAAACTAAAATTCCATGAAACTAGGACAAAATATGAACAAAATATTCTTCAAGTGTACAAAGAGAACAAGACCATGTGTTCCAGAATGATAAGCGACTTCTGCCAAATAAGTGATGTAAAGTTCTTAAACGAGATCAAAACAACAAAACCACGAAATATATTAACAAGTATCAATGTAAGCATAGGTCATTGTATCTTTCCTTTTCTATTACAATTATTTTTCAAAGAAATAAAAGCTATAGGTAACTTGGAATGTGTAGCGTGTAGGAATAAATAACTCACTTAAGACACTTATCACATCACTCGGAGTATGTAGCGAGGTGGAATAAGCTTCTTGATTAAGACACTTATCACGTCACTCGGAGTATGTAGCGTGGTGGAATAAGCTTCTTGATTAAGACACTTATCACGTCACTCGGAGTATGTAGCGTGGTGGAATAAGCTTCTTGATTAAGACACTTATCACATCACTCGGAGTATATAGCGTGGTGGAATAAGCTTCTTGATTAAGACACTTATCACGTCACTCGGAGTATATAGCGTGGTGGAATAAGCTTCTTGATTAAGACACTTATCACATCACTTGGGCTTTGTAGCGTGGTTGAAATTTTTTCTTATAAAAACAATTATCACACCACTTGGGCTTTGTAGCGTGGTGGAATTCGTTACTCAATTAAAAAAAACTTATCACATCATTCGCGATATGTAGCGTGGTTGAAAAAGTTTCTTCATAAAGACACTCATCACAATATGTATCGCGATTGAATAAGTTACTCAATTAAAGCACCCAACCCATCACTCGGGGTTTCCTAGGAAGTAACCTGATTCAGACCATTATCACACCATTCTGGTTATGTAGAGTGATGAAATAAGTTTCTTAACTTAAATACGTATCACATTACTCGGGTATGAAGTGATGTAGAATAAGTGTCTTAATTTAGTATGTAGTGTGGTGTAATATTTTGCTTAATTTAAAAATTTATGATAGCACCCGTCATACAGTGTTGTGGTAAAGCGGCAATAATTGGCACTCTTATACGTGTTTGATGCTTGTTAACTTATTGGTTCCGTTGTTGTATACGTTATTCTCATTTCTGAACGTGACAGGTGTCGTCGATGTAACAACAGACGCTTACTATTCCAGAACATCTGGTCTTATTCACCTTTGTACTTTTTCAAGAGTCTCCGTGTAAATATTTCTTTTGTTCATATTTTGCCCTAATTTCACTGAGTTTGGATTATGATCATGTTTACATGTTGTTTTATTTTTTATCTTTGTTTAGTGATGGGTGAAATGGATACGTGATTTGTCCTCTATAACACAACCTTTGATCTGCTTAACGTGTTCAAATATCAACATAGATATCTCTATTCGTACCAGACAACGTCTACTGAACGTATTGTTAGCAATTTCAAATGATTAATATTAAATCGAGAAGAACTGAGGAATCTCTATTTCTTGTTTTGTGATACATCATTAAATGTTATTGTTTGCTGGTGTGTAATGTTAAAACTATAATGACACGTTATCATACACTTAAATTGTCTGTATTAATGTGAAATAATAATTTCTTGAGACAAATAAAATGAAGGATGGATAATTATTCTGCTAATTGCGCGCGAATTTGATCAAGTAAAGTGGGCTTACTATTCTTTGTGATCTACTAAAACAGCAAATGTAACACTGAAATGTCAACAGAATCTAGGACACAATGTAAACAAAACGAAGAATGTTGTACACAGGGACCCCTGGAAATACACAAGACGACTTCGACAAGGTGTTCCAGAAAGGTTAGCGTATAGATGTAAATTGTATGTGTTTCGTACAAATTGTCTGTAATTAATGTAGATTTCTTTGTTACTCTATATAGATTAAGTACATTGATACAAGTGAAAACTTATCGATTTTACACAATTAAACAAATTATGTTTTTACACTTTCATGCATGAGATTAGATAAAAATAAGAAATAAAAACTTGTTCATATTTTATTTAGATTTTTATTCATTGTGGCAAGAAAATCACATAACGACTAGAAATTGATAAAGAATGTGAAATAAAACATAAAATAAATGGAATTAAAATAACAACATAACGAAACAAAACTAATTAAAAGAATGATTAGTAAAACAATGACACGTGATTAAAATTGTTATTAGAATAGCACATACAATCATTCCACGTCTGTAAGAATAGTTAGTGTGGCTCCAAACAAAACATAGGTAATATTCCAGTCCGAATTATAGAAAACTAATAGCTTATCTTCGAAATGTGATTTTGAAAAATAGGCTATGTGAAAAATGTATGGAAGGGAAATAATGAATTAAGGTAATTTTAAGGAAGAACATATGTTCTTTTATCAAAAGTATGTAAACACAGAGAAATAAAATTCGGAAATACATGATAGAAATATTTAAACAACAATCACATTTTTTACAATGTGGCTCGAGAGACAAGGTATCAATAATTCTAAAACTATATCGATTTCAATCATTATAATTGTGCCTTTAGAAGAAAAAAGGTAAATGAAAGTTTCATCTCGATATCTGATCGTCATGAAAACTGCTTCACATTGAAAAATATTTCGTGTCGGAATCTTAACCGATCTGTTTCGTTTCATTTTTATCAATAAAACTCTTTGGTATATGAAGGTATAGATTGCAGGAAATGTAATGAATTAAAGCTGCCAATCTGCCAATATTGGCTAAGTACATATACTCGAAACTACTTAAACAATACCAAATAGAAATCACACATTGAAACAGTTCCCTGTATCCGGTCACATATCACCTAACACACATGTAAATCCTATCCCAACTGAGGGAATGTGACGTCATACGAGTCCGTATATTTTTCGTACGTATTTGATAATTTGAATATTGTGTCAAATAGAGAAAATTTGTCTATTATCTCATCACTGTTGTTTGTCAATCAGCACCTTGCATCGGCATCGCAGCAACCAAAGGCCAGACACTTCAATGATTATCTAATAAAGATAATATTCATCGATGTATGAATAATTTGGAAACATTTGTAACATTTGGAAATGTTATTGGTGCTTATAGACCAGGAAATGTTTATTGGTCAGTATGCTTAAATCACACTTGATCTAGCAGCGTTCGGCTTCCTCATTTTGTGTCACTATCAAAAGCTGTAACCTTTGTAAATGAAATAACTCCAACACATCTTTGACTACATATGTCCCTTTCACGATTCTTTTTTTTCAAATCCTTCTCAAACTGGAACCAAGGTAAAAGAAAATAGTTTCTGTGCTGGTCCTTTGTCTACCAAAGCGATTCTACACCATACCAGTCATTGAGGACCTGAGGGCTGGTGACATCTGGGTGTATCCTGCTGATAGGAACATCGAGTCTCGATAACTGGCGTGTGCCAATGATGAGTTGAGGCACCCCGATGATGCTTCCTGTGAAGAACTGGCATGAGAAGAGGCCGGGGTGTCATGGTAAAGAATAGGGACGCGGACAAGTCTATGTCCAGCTGCCACGTGCGACATATTAGCCACCTCTAATTCGGCCGCTAGCTGGCGTTTCCATTTATTACGTCTATTTTGAAACCAGATTTTTACCTGTGTTTCAGTAAGTTGAAGAGAAGCTGCGAGTCCGGCTCTTTCTGAGCTTGATAGATACCTTTTCATGTCAAATGTGGATTCTAGTTGAAATACCTGGCTTCTGGAAAACACTGTTCTTGTTTTCTTTTTCCTTCTGTTCTTCTTATCATCGTCTGTCAAGTCACATGACTGTTGGCTGTCTGAAACCTTCTGCTCGTCATCGGACCTAGAGTCGTTTGTTTCTGTATCCGGGCAAGGAGACTCTGGAGGTGAGAGAAGTACTTCTGAGGCCTCTTTGCTGATTGACGACTTGACAGAAGTACAGGAGCTGTTTCTGAATATTGGTGACAAATCCGTGGGCTGGGCAACCTTCGAGGCTATTCTGGAGGCTTCTGTTTGGAGAAAAGAATAATTATTGAGAACAAATAATTATATTTCGATTTGATTCTATTTATCTATTTATTCGAAGTTTAAACAAAGTAACACCACAGGTAGAAAAAAAACAGTTCAAGTTATCAGTATTTGATTTTGAAGACATCAACCACTCAGAAGTTTAAGAGTAGTAAGAAAACATACGAAATCGACTAAATAGCAATTTAATATAAAAAAAACAACTTAATTTATTTAGATACATGTCATTTCATTTAATCTTTTGGCAAGATAAAATGCTATTAAGGATATCGCACTATTTTATGATAAATCAAAAGGTTTTCCAAGGAAGACACTTTAATTCGTAAAAATAAAAAACTATCAATGAAGTTTTATCGTTTAATGTGCAAATTCATCATTCAATATAACTTAAGCATCCGAAATGAAAATGGGGTATACTTATTAAGTGTTTAAAATGGAGGGAAATACTAGCATGTACCTAATTGCCGATATCGGTAAAAATCAATAGAATTCCATTTGTGATTATAACATAATTACAAATAAGTCAATTTTGTTAAGAAATTTGTAGTCGTTGAAAAATATTTTTACAGTTTTGAGAACTTCCAGTAGCCCTACAAACTAACATTGCTACAGTTCATGATAAACATTAATGTCATTTTCACTGTATATATATTCTAAATATCTGTATATATTTATCTTTATATATTGTAATTACTGGATTTTAATTTTTTTTTTAAATATCATGTCATCGCGTTATAAATATGAGTTAATTGAGCACACGACTCCATATTTGTTCTGGACCAACACCAATAGGCAAAGATGCCTACGTCATTTACCACGGAGAAGTGCGTGTTAGCAGAGGACATTTCATTACCGATTCAGCGGAAAATAAGCTAGCGTAAAATGAGATGTTACGGGCTTGTCAATTTCATGCCACTTAAATCCCATGTGTACAAGATCCCATACACTTCAAACGACAACTATCGACCCATGATTAAGTTTGTGCATTCATCAAACACAATGACTCGAATACAATAGCCGTGATACTGTCAAGTAGAGTTGTGAGGAGCTGTGATATTCTGAAGTAGATTTACTGAACGATGGCAACCTCAAGTACAACCCGGAGAACTCTTCATTAACCTTAAGGATCCTTGACTAGGACCTAGTGATTTGTCAGCCATAAATTACTACGTGATGATAATAAAAATACCAGTTATTTGTCGGCGTTCAACTAATCGTTATCATAATGAAATGGCTGAGCGGGGTCATAATTACTATTTAATAGCGGTAGAAAACACACATATACACACATGTTATTTTAATAATAATAAAACAATAAATTTTTAATACTTATTTTAGAATTACTCCCAAACAATGCTAAAAAATTTGACTATTTAATGTTGAATTTCCAATAACTTTAACGCCATTTAGCGTATTTAGTTAAATTGCTTAAGATATTGTAGCCTTACAAGGTTTGGATCTGCTTGCTAATACTTATGTCACAAGCTTGAAGTGTGCGTTCTATTACATCGTAATTGTGTTAACCTAGGATACCATTTCATCCGCATTTCAATCAAATGACATTTTAAATTAATTGCTTTTGTTTTTATCATGCATTCTGTTTCATATATGTGTACAAATAATTGAAGTTATGACTATGACGTTCGAAGACATACATCACATTTGAATGTTTGCTGTATAATTCACCTGTCAAACGCAATAACCTATTTGTTTAGTTTATTGTCTATGATTTATCATATTAAATGAAATTGTTCTGATAAAACAATATTATCCAAGTTAGGTGTTACGTACGAGTTTACTGAATTACCCTATTTGAAAGAGTTAGTTGTCTAATTATAAATTGAATTACCGTATCACAAGCCATTAAAATGTGAGCGAATCAAATACTTTGAATTTGGACCTGATGAAGGAAGACAGTAATTTCTATCTTTAATGAGCCGTCAGACAAAAACCTCCAACAGAATCGATCGAAAAGCAAATTTATCATTTTGCTGAAGTGAAATATGTATTTGTTTTCCACAGTCCCGTGTAAAGTCGTGCGTCACTTTTGTCAGCTGCACCCGTTAATTGACAATCCTTGAGGAAAGCCAAACAATCACTCATGTTTTCCTGTCATCTTTATTAAACGTATATGGGAAATTCCAACACTTGTAATCATTACAATTACAACAGATCGGATAGAAAACTTATTTATAATTTAAATTTGGTGAAGATTTAGTGTAATCTGTCATTTTATATTCAAGTTGTAGAAACGCAAGCTCTCTTTTTACCTCCTTTAATAAGCATGGTGAATGAGACAACTCTGTTGGTAATTGATGACGTTATAGCTACAACCGGAGCTTAAGTCTCCAAGTAACATGAAAAGTTTCCGTCATCAACACTAGTCACTGAAAATACAAAGTCAACATCGGTGTGGTTTATGGACAAATCTATTACCCTATCCAGCTTGTTTATTGAATTTATGCATTTTTTAAAATAAAATCTTCCTAATTTCATTTAATTCGAACATGGATTAAGAATTGTTAAGATGTCGGTATTTTCTTTGTTCTTTATCATTGATTTAAAAAAAACTGTGTCAATGTTCTAGAATAAAGTAATGTTTAGGTCCTGATGCCTAATTGTTTTAGAAAATCTTATGTAAATAGATGAGGTAGACGCACTTCCTTATCGATAGATCACTGTCTGTGGTAATCTAGATTCCTCTGTGTTGTCTAATGAGTATCATTATTAATGTCACTTTGTTTCAATAAGAAGATCAAAAGTACCCCATTGAATGGTAAAACGATCAAAAGAATGTGAAAATGCTGTTATCTTTGCGTTGGTAAGTTGCAATATTTATCAACTTTCCTATATTTCTTCCAACATTACTGCAAAAAATTAATTCTAAAATCATCAGTAAGATGTGTAACAAAATTAGAAAACAAAGACATAAATTAAACATTGTTCGTTCATTATGACTTCACAATCAATTGCTACAGTTGAAAATACAATTTAAGTAATCATTTGATAGAAAATGTTTTTCTTGATAACAGATAATTTCAGATAACGATATACATACTTTCACACGTTTTCTAACAGTTTTTTTTCATTCCGCTCAATTCCTTTTACCTAGTATATACCAGAGGTTTTGGCACCATTACATTAGATTTTTAAAGAACGTTGAAAATTATAATCAAAATTCTTATCTTTACAAAATGCTTCTCTCTTGTAATTATTATTTATATCAATATTCCTGAATCAATACTAGAACTTCCTCTTCATATAATCTCTTGGTTATAGATCGTATAACCGGTAATGTATTGTATTATATACTTATTGTAATAGAAATTTTATAGAAGACTTGAGCAGATATTCAATCATTTTATTAGTAATGATGTAAAGTTAAGTTCGAGTATCCTACTTAGACACAACCATATGGTTGCTTATTCATGATAATGTATCGGTATCTATTTTTCAGAAACGTTTCTAATTCCATGATGAAAACAGACGAACGACGTAAAGGCGTGCCCAGACTAACAAATCATGTATAGGTTGGCTGTAAGGAAATAAAAACGGATATGGTGGGTCTCTCAACCCCAGGGAAATTAAATGTCCACCTAATAGGCGACGATGTCACAATATGTTTCATATATGGCAGCAAAATAGTCAATTTACACTGAGAAACAAAAGGTTTGTGTCAAAAGACATTACTGATTTACATGTTTATATCTGCTATATTTTACAAATAAATTCCCTTTTTATTATATGTCAATGATGTACAATATTTCTTGAAAACACGCAAATTTAAGCTAATCGCTTTTATATTTGAATAACACTAGATGAAAAGCTAACATTTACTAGCACTTGATGATAACTATTTAAAGTGACATTCTAATTAGTTCAATTACAGTAACAAAATAGTTTTCATTCATTTTTTATTCTGATGTAGGGAACAAACATTTTAATCTTCAGACCAACTTTAATCTATTTCTCCAATAACTGTGATAGAATCAAATCTATATGCACGGAAACTTTTTACAGATGGAAAAATTGTCATATAATCATGTTAATAAGCATGTGGATTACTGTTTCACGTGAGCTTTTGAAATAGATGGTCAAAATATGTTTTGAAAAGAAAGTGATTTAATTTACACAAATTAATCCTGATTTCTTTGGTAAGTATTTCAGCATTTCAGATTTAACATGACGTTAACTAAATAAGCATGTCATTAAAATACCTGTCAAAACACATTATTGACAGGAAATTGATTCAAACATATTTTACTGCCATAAAAATTAGATTGGGTACAAGTTATTAAAACATTAATTAAGCCCTTTCCCAAAAACAAATTACAATTACAGTATTTAACAAACAAAGAAGTCGTGCATCTATAATTTAACTATTCCTACAGGATAGTTGCATTGATGTTCGAAATAAGAAAACAAAATAAACAGGCTCTTAATTTTCAATCTTTTACTAGATTTATTGAAATTGCGCACATTTCCTAATGTCATTTCGTTGGTGTTTAAAGGCAGGTTTTTGTTTCCAGATAAAGGTAAGTCGAAATTTTAAAAAAAAAACAGCTCTATTTTCCGAAATTAGCATAAGGCAATGTATATTAAATAATCATATGTCAGAGAACTACATCGATGAGTTTATATAGTGTAGTTTGCTGGTTTGAATTGCAGAAAGTTAGATATTATCGAAAAATATCTATACATATACTTGAATGCACATCAAACATCATGTATTTTTAATTTTGATTTAAAAAAATATCTAATGAGTAATTATAGCATTGTTTTGTGAAATATTGGCCACGAGGCAAAATGTATTATAAATCAGACGGAAAACTGTCATACTTTGATCATAAATATGTTGGCAGGTACTAGATAAGTAAACAACATGTCACATGTTTTTGATAACTCCAATAGATGATTTATATATCTGATATAAAACTGTCACATTAGTAACTAATAAAGGGTTGATAAGGTAGAAAACCCTGATCGCTCCTCAAGAAAACACCATCAGTGTAAACAACTCATCAGCATAAAGATGCAAAATAACGTATATTCACCACCCAAACGCTTGGTAAACAGGGGAAAACAACAACACATTGCACTTGTCTGGATATCGTAATTGCAATCTTTATCACAATGGTCTCTCTAATTAATCATCGTAGGAAGCTGCAGTATTTGTCTCTCGTTGATACACCTAGCGTGTATGATAACTAATAACACAGCTATCAATAATAGCTTTAATAATGTACGGCAAACAGCGAAAGAAAACACATATAAGAAAACACCATCAGTGTAAACAACTCATCAGCATAAAGATGCAAAATAACGTATATTCACCACCCAAACGCTTGGTAAACAGGGGAAAACAACAACACATTGCACTTGTCTGGATATCGTAATTGCAATCTTTATCACAATGGTCTCTCTAATTAATCATCGTAGGAAGCTGCAGTATTTGTCTCTCGTTGATACACCTAGCGTGTATGATAACTAATAACACAGCTATCAATAATAGCTTTAATAATGTACGGCAAACAGCGAAAGAAAACACATACATATATCATATTGCATATTCCATAAACATGTTGATAGAAGGAGTGTTGTTTTGTGTTTGAGCTAAAATATAAAAACGAAATATGTGCAACAATGTCTTTTAATCGATCATTATTTAAATCAAGGTAAAAATTAAAACATATGTTACTATTGAGTTAAAAAGTAGATTGAATATATATTATGCATTTCATAATATAGTTATTAGTTTGTTTATCGATAAGCATTTGATGCTTCCGCATTTACCATAATTGTTATTCTATAAATATTTGTTTGTGAATCTGATGAATATAGGAGAACTGGTTTGATCGACATGAAATTATTGATCAATATTACTGAATACAACAACCCTACTTGTATCAATATGTAATTGAACGGAAACCCTTTATGTATTGTTAAATGAACAGTTTCGTTGATTTGTCGTATAGATGATATCCATTTACGGAGAGACGATTAATTTGAGATAAAAATATTGAAAAAAAATGACAAACCTCTAACTAGTTGTTAACACGTTATTTCACTCCGTGAATGATAAATAGACAATATTTCTTTTGCGTTTCTCAGTTAACGATTTAATATTTATATAGATAATGTTTTCTGATATTGGGTTCGAAATTCCATTTCTAATGTATTCTGTAATCAATATGAAAAAGAGATCCAAAGTATCGATGATTGGAAAGCATGATGTCACAGCAAATAGCTTGTGATGTATATTTGCATGTACGTTAATGAATATAGTAGTGGTTTATTGAACATAGCATATTTTATGGACAAAATACAAGAAGATTAATTTCACAGTGGCTAGATATTTGACATTCAGTGTATGAAATAATTATCAGGGGATTATAGCTAATGTTCATTTTTAAAAATAATCTCTAAACCTATTATATTAAAAACAAAATCTCTAAAGCTTTGGAGCTAAACTATAAAATGAACAAATGCATGCAATTTTAGCATTAAAGGGGCTCTATCACCTGGGAGACTTACACCGGCTTTACGAAAATACAAATAACTTAAATATTGAAATGGTAAAACAACAAAATAATACTGTCACGAGTGACAGTTGAACATATTTATCGGATATGAATCATATCTGGTCATCGATTCCTAGTTTTACGACAGAATTGATCCTCAGATTTATTAGATAGTATTAGGATTTGCCAGCTAATGCGATCGGAGTCATCTATTACCTTCTTTAGATACCTATACACGTGCTATTTGATGAATGACGTTCTGCACCAGTGATCTCACGCCCCCTTAACAAAACTACTAGATGCTAGCTTCTGTTTAACACAGATGTAAGTACAGTGTGCTATCTAGTATTTAAAAGATGCTTTTATGTTACACGCTTGAGTTCCAAACGAAAAATAAAATCTTTTATTTTTAGCGAAAATATTCGTAACGTTTTCTTTGTGACTCTTATTATTTCTCAATATGTGTCAAAACGTCAGTCTATCACTTTTTATTTCACCAATCAGTAACAAATTGCTTGCCTTACAATAATTTAGCCTTCAGGGTGGATCACCATATAATACATAAAATCTTTGACACCAAACTGGAAATGTACAACTTAGACACCTGATTAGAAAATGTCGAAAGTGTTTAACACCTTGATAGAACTTTTAATTCTGAATTATTATTATCTTTTATTATTAATTTTCTTGTGAAAATATATTCATGTTTTTTATGTTTCTTTTATACTTACCTGTACAAAGTTAGGGTCCAGAGATTTATTAAGAACATTTTCAAATACAACAATTTTTATAAACGGAAATTCAAAAGATAAACACCTGTTTTATAATCAAAGGATCCAAGGATTCAACCGATAAATGTATATTTTATCTGTTGTGTAAAAAGACAATGACGCAAAGATAAACAATTGTTTGAAGGTAGAAGTATAAAAATGTCAAAGTGGAACTCCTCTAGGTTAAGACATTAGGAATGCATGAAGAGATTTTTAACTGTTATTATTAGGGCAGTGCCGTAATGTATTTGTCATTTTCACAGCTTAATAATAACTAATTTTATACCATCAAAGTCATCAATATTCTTTTGTATGGAAGCATGACTGCTTGTTGAATTACGGTAAAATTATAAAGTACTTTGTTGTAAAGTATTTGCCTAAAGGCATGACATTATTTGTTTGGTTGTTTATCATATAGTGCATAGAATGATTTATTTAAGATAAAGTTGCTTAGGATAGTTCGTTTATTGTTTACGGTATATCTGCATGTTTATTCAGTACAAAGTTTTTGTGTGATTTTTACAGTTATTTCGTTTTAAAATGTTTGGTACGACTGGCATAAATGTATGTTTATTTATCTACAGAGTCTTTTCCGGATGATTTAGGCAAACTGTTTAATAGATTTAATTGATATGCTTGGTTACCTATGTTGTAGTAGGTTAACATGTTAAAAGATGATGATACGTGTGCGGTATTTTATCATAAAATGATAGCATTGTTGTGATTGTAAGTGTAGCAAGAAAGTGGTATTTTGTTCGAAAGTGTTACTTTGAAGAACAAAGTAGTTTGTATTTATTATCATAAAGTATGTGATATTTTGAACGACACAATATTATAAAGGGTATGATGACTTCTATGACAGAGTTAATCAACTGAAGCGTTATATAACATAAATAACATCATAATCATAACGATAATATGATATTAAAACATCTTTGTTAAAATAATAGAATGGTCATTATTCCCAACTCGTTAAGATTAAAACAATGATGGTCTTCTACCAGATAAGAATGAAAATATTGACATGTTCTATTAATATCAGGATAGAAAAATGGATTCTCGGGTTGTTTTCAATAAATATATTGATTTCTTAATTCCATTTAACTTGTTAAACAGCAACTGATAAATGTGTCGTTACTTTTTTATTTATAAATTATATAAGTCACTTCATGTATTTATGTAAGAGATTCCTTACATTTCATTCAAATGACCAAAACATCATAAAAAGTCATTTTGAAATACATGTCTTCAGATAATTAATGAACCTCAATAATGATTTCATATTTTTTTCAAATTAATTGAATTATTTTTGTTTTTGTTATTGACACCTAATTACGTCATAACATTTACGTATTATTTATTTATTTGTTTTTTTTTTAAACACTTATTTTTACCAATCTAGTCATTTAGGAAAGAACCGTTGATTCAGCGATGCATTTCTTTCTTTTCATAATCATGATTCAAATTATATTAATTCTTTCTAAGATATTAAAACAATGAAATAATAACATTATCTTAATATGAAACTACGTAAAACTATTGATTTAAGTGACGTTCAAATAGCTAATTTAGAAATTTGCTTAGCAGAAGTTGATGATTAATTTTGAATTTTGTTTCAGATTTCCGAGATTGTGTTAAGCCGTTAACTTACGAGAAATATTCTCCTGGTGAAGTTGGTGGAGAAACTGCTGGCCTGCCGTATACCAGTGGTACCATGACGGTAAGGGGTGAAGCCCGAACGTGCCCCCACTCCCAGCCTCTGACACTGGAGGGAACCCCCGGGGGGAAGGATGATCGGACACCACAGGTAAGTCTAGTTTTGATACTACAGCAGGAGAATCCTCGTCTACCACTTTCTCCTTAGATTGTTTTTCAATGTCTTTAGCGAGAATGCTGCTTATTGAGAAACTCTTGGATGTTACTTCCGTCTTTCGTTCCTCTGCCATTTTTAGTTTGTTTATATAACTTTTAAATTACTATTAAAAATAAAGGTTTTTGACACTATCGTTTTTTACAATAAACATTTCAATGACAGTTCCATCATAAGCTGCTGACAAACAGTATTTCGATGTATCAAGATCTCAGAAATAAAGGACCAGCTGACGGAGACACAACACAATTGTTCATTTCTAGTACGTTATTCGTCCTGTATGTTTGAATAACACCAAAAGCTACCGTTACTACTAACATTTGATGAGTTCATTATGATAACACCGTTTCTAGGATAAACAGTTCCACTTGAGCAAAGTTACGGCACTTTGGTAAGGATTTTCGCGGTACTTCTTTATGATGACAGATCGTGTTTGTAGCGATAAAAAATCAGCTGTCTTCGGAAACTCGACACAAACATGCGGCTTATTTTGAAACTGTCTTCCTCCAAGCAATCTACACTTTTAAAAAAGAAATCTTATAAATGTTGACTCTGATAATGAAGCATGGAGCATTTGTAAAATATCACCAATATTCCAACCACGCCCACTACAGTTCTCAGCCAACATTTCTAAGCAGTGGTTGCCTGTCATTGGCTGAAAGCGGATCCGATAATGACTGCCTTTGCAAAGTGACAATTTGATTTTCTATGCTCGTTATGCTACGAGCGGGTATTTTATTACCCGGATAAAACATCCGCACTAGACAGACCAAGATTGTGAAGCGTCAAATTAGGGGATATTGAGTGAAAACTTTGTTAAACATCCCGCTGCTTCCCGATTTACTTTACTTAAATACCCTTAAAACACACTGATAGTCTCCTCCCCTTTAATAGTATCTACCCAGCATGATGGCTGGCACTTTGTCGAGGGCTTTGACAGCATCGTTCAGGACGACCGTCGGCCATTCTTCACTTAGCGCTCACCTGCTTTCGACCATTTAGATTTCAAATCTTTGGGAAAAGATAAGCCTGTCGGAAGATGAAAGACGTGCACCATGGGAGACAATCATCTCTTCGACGACTAAACAATGATTTTCTTCTCCGTGTTTTCAAATTACACCATTTGTAAATGAGCTATCTTGCGGAAAATCTGTGCGAATACCGAGGAGCCCCCGGGAGTTAGAATCGCCTTTGTTTATCAGACTCGGGCGGGCCATTGTTTTCAGTGGGACTTATCCGATTGTCGTTTTTGTCGTCTAGCTATTACAGTCGGAAGGTCTCCGTAATGCTGTGGTTGGGTTGCTTTTCTGACAAATTTGAACCGAATATCTCAATTGATTTGTCAAATTGATCACAAATTAGCCTAAATGAGTCAATTTATAGTAGTTCTCATGAAAATGTGACCACATGCATTATAAGCCCCACAATGATAAGCCGCAAACTGGAAAATGAAAGTACAGATGAATAGCGATTATTTTCTCTGTTTATCACAGTTATTATCACTACACTTAAACACCGGTCACTTTTGGTGACAATTACGTACATGATTTAATAAATACCATGTTAATAAAATCCCGTAAAAACCTTGTTATAGCGGTCACGACAACAAAAAGTTCAATCAATGTCAATTTGGTGCTTTACTGAACAATCAAACAGTGAAACGGAAGCGTTTTATGTTTTGTCCTGTAATTTATGGAAATTTCATCACTTTATAAGTGAATTTATATGCTTCATTATGAAATTTTCATTTAAAGAACTTTACCTACATACCAGAATTGAGAAGAGATATAAAAGTAAAACTCTTTGGTGATCAATGATCACTTTTACTGGAGGTCCTCGACACTGGCAGTAATGTTTTCCATCGTAACGAGGAAAAAAAATACAAACATCTATTTAGGAATTTCACAATCCCGTGCACAAAGTGAAACCAAGCGAACTACGTACGTAAACAAACATTGTATATATATATAATAAATTTTCTACAATTTAAATAGAATGGAGATACACTGTAAATTAGCCATAGCGTCCAGTTCTATATAAGTATACATGTAAAATTACTGCCGGTGATTGGTGCACTGCTAGGATTAGTGAAAAAATCAGTAATGTCCTTTTCGAATTTCTTTTTATATGATTTTATAAGGAATGTCTATGTTTATGATTTTATAAGGATTGAAACAAGATGTTGATATCATACTTCAGTACCAGAAAAATAAATTACCCAGATGACAATAAGAAAATTTCAAGATTTTTTAAAAATATTTGTCGGAGAGTAAAATTTTTAACGGATGAAATTAACATCGATTTTGATCCATGTATCTTTCATTATCAGATAGTCCGTACTTAACATAGCATTGTAGTGTCTAGCTTTTGTTTCACCACTATTACAAACTAAACATTTTATCGAGTCGGCGTTACAAAGCCAAACATATGCTTATTTTTCAATCACATAGTCGATTATTTTCTGCAGATAGCTGAAAAGGACGCCTTCCAGTTAAAGTCAGCAATATTAAAAAAAACTTAGTGTATCTTAAGAAACGTTTATCAGTTTAATGTGGAATTCATTTTGTGTATTTGATATTTTGTATAAAGCGTTAGCAAAGTTTGATTTGTTTTTGTTGTCAAAAAAGAAAGGCGAGAAACCGCCGTGAGAAAGAAATTAACTTGTCTTTTCCATCGCTGCTTTTCTGTATTCATCACCTGGTTCTATAGCTCGGTCGACAGTTTACTGAGGTATTATTGCTAATTAAGACAGTTTAGAAACACCTGTGTTCGGCTGGAAAAATATCACATTTCGTAAATCGCTTATAACTTAGGAATAAGAAACTAATAAAGAGTGATCGAATTGCCCGAGCACTGATTATATTAGACGATATCATCCCGTCATTAACTCAACACAAAAATATAAAACAACCAAAGCTTACACGTCTTCAAGCAAATCTGCTAGACGTGGTTCTTTAACGGGGCTCTTCCAAACACAATAAACGCTTATTATGACAGCTCTTGGCAAATGTGTTAAAATTGCTTATTGGTTTAGAAAGACCGATACCGTGTTCATTACAAAGCCATGACTGTATCATAAACAAGGGGAAATATTTTGTAAAGCGTTTTATGGTTTCATATCTGATAACAGAAAACCAAGGAATATTATCAGGTCAGCCGAACAGTAAAGTGTTAGCATCTTTAGCTGAACATAAATTACCAGGAAAAAATTGCTATTTTCCCGGAGCCATTGTACAGTCATCGTCTGTTATTGTATAGTTATAAAAAGACGCATTACAGAAGGAATTATTTATCGTGATGACTATTCGTGTAATTATATGCTGTCATTTCAGAATTGGACTAATCATAGTTGACATTCCTCGTAAATATGAACGACAACCAGAAATGAGAAATTCTGTAAAGGTGTTTTATCTTAAGTCTACTTTCCGATATTACGTTCATATATATCATGTTACCATGGGATTCGGCCTAGAGTCATTATTGGGTAAGACAATCAGAGAAGACCAGGGTATATATTCTAAAACCTATGAAAACAAGAGTAAAATGTTAAGAAAACGAAGATGCTAGAAAAACGACATCAATGAGAATAAGACTATGTGTCACTGTTAATTTGAGCTTTCTGTCATTTCCCGTGGGCTATTTGTTTTGTATGTTTTCAGACTTTTCGACTTGACAGTTTTGATAGCTGATGATGTGATCACAGGGTTTGTTCTCGTGCATGTTTAATATGAAAGTTCAAAAACCTTTTTTTTCAATTTTGAATAAAATTTCCTTTCCACACCACCCGAGAAAACAGTTATCATACAGCTCATAGAAACAGTAAACATTTAAGCACATGATTTCCATAGATACACGAAATTTGTTTCTTTTATTTTTACAATGTTTCTATTTTGCGTTTCTACTGAAGTGACAATGTTAAGTAGAGAAAAGTGATAGTACGATATATTAGCCTTGTAAATACTCCAGCTTTATAGAGGAAGTATACACAAACCACAGGTACTTGATACACTCAAGAAAAAATATATCCATATAGAGCTGTTCCGTTGTTAAAACCATGACAAGTGTCTTTGCTCTCCAGTGATACGTAATTTCTTGCGGTGAAAGGTAAATTTGCCAGCGTCACAACAATTTTTAACAACACATACTCTATTATTCAGGCAAATATTATAGAAAGCGGACTTTTCCATGCCAAAATTGGAATAATTTTGGCTCAATGTCTACGGGTGCTACTGTTATTTTCCAATGCATTAAGTTCATGTGTGACGTCATTTGAGTTGGCGAGATTATTACATTGGAATATTCACTGAATAACAAGGCAATTAAGAGACAAATACAAGATCTTAAATGAATTTTTATGTCATGAGATTTAATGAGACATGAAGGGTATTTTTACATACATGTATGTATATATTTGCAAGCATTCCTAAGGTAAATCAAACCTTTGAGACGAGTTTCGTAAAATTTCATATGAAATTAAAACAACTTTAAGATACGTTTTATGACATAACTCAGAATAATTAACTGTCCAGGTTTTAAAGTCAAAATGTGGAGGACAAAATCAAACGGAGGCAGCCATTGTGTTGCGCCACTTTCATTCATGGTGTAACGTCATTGTCCATATTAGGACATCACAACTAATTTTGGATTGGTGCAGTCAAAGAAAACATTCTAACTTACATGAGTTTTCATTTCATATGAAGCAATTCCTGGACGTTTTTATTTTTTCGGGTTTTTGGGAGCAAAAATTAAAACAAGTGTCATAAAATCTCGTATGAAACGAAAACGAATTAAAAAATAATTCTTTTTTGATCAGACAACGCAAGTCTTATATTTTGACAGGTCAGCATCACTGACAAGTCTGGAAGGACGAAAAAACTGTGATGTAGCATCACTGACAAGTCATGGAATGACGAAAAACTGTGTGATGTAGCATTACTGGCAAGTCCTGGAATGACGAAAAGCTGTATGATGTAGCATTACTGGCAAGTCCTGGAAGGACGAAAAAGCTGTGTGATGTAGCATTACTGGCAAGTCCTGGAAGGACGAAAAAGCTGTGTGATGTAGCATTAGTGGCAA